ATTATGAAACAAGAGTCTATACTTTTTTCTCCCTGGTTACTTCAAAGTCCGGTCTATGACCCCAGAGCCCCAAAACTGGGGGATCCGCATCTGGCATCTTCGTAAAAGTTGGAGTTATATCTCAAACCATAGGCCCTGACTTGCAGAAGTCTTGATCAATAGCGTAAACACCTCAGTGCTTCCAAACTCGTCTGTGTAGACACAAACCTAGCACTTCGGAAGACCGAACAAATCGAGGGTCTAGGCGCCTAGGGATTTTGACTTAACGGGGTTTGAGCGTTTGGCGTGTCATTGCAAGGTCTGTGGATTTGGGTTTTTTCGTTCTTCCGTTGTAGATCTGTAGATCTTGCAGTCCAATATACTAGGATTTGCGATTTCAGAGTTTAGGGCTTTCGAAGTTTCGGGTTGAGGGTCGAGTCATTCGGTTGCCGAGGTAAAGTTAGAGATTCAACACCCTAAACCCCGAACACTAAGCCCTGAACCCTAAACCCCAGGCAAGGTTAGCTTCGCAGACAAAATCCTGCTTCATGCCTGCAAGGTAATGCAGCTACTGTTTAGATTCCTATGCCTAGACCCATACAGTTGAAACACAGAACCTTACAACCCAAACCGCAAGGACCTACCTGTAAGCTGCTTGGAGTACCTAGGATCCTTGCTACAAAGACTTCGGAAGGAAACCCCCAGATTTCAGAAAGCTTCACTCCAAGCACATCGCCAATACCTCTAGGCTCTACCCCTGAACACTGAACCTGTAAACCCCTGAGCCCTAATCCTGGGCCCAAAACCCTGTTATCGACAGTCTCCTTAGGAACGATTTATTCTTTTTTGTTCATCGACAAACCCAAGAGAATATTACATCACATGTTTGAATTATGGTCTTAAGTGGGGTATAGTAGCCCCGAACCTCTAAACTCCTCCACCCTAGACCCCTAAACCCTAAGCCCACTGCCAGGAAGCCTTCCGGACAGTCGAACGCGACTGCGCTAAGCCTTCCGCGCCTTGGGCCTTGCTTTTCCCACAGTTTAGGGTTTGGGTTTAGAGATTTTTTCTTTTCGAGCTTTTAGGAATTGGGGTTACGGGTTTAGGGTATTTAGAGGGTTTAGGGCCCTAAACCCCCTAAATCCTAAACCTTGAACCCTAAACCTTTGGGTCTTTGAGGTTTGGGATCCTTTCGGCTCACCTTAAGGCTCCTGGACCCTTGTAGTCTTAGTGAGATCCCCGACCCTAGCCCCCAAAGCCGAAACCCTCCCCCAGAAAGCCCAAGACCCTCTTAGGAGCATTAGGGCAGCCAGGAGGTAAACGTGCCTGCGTTTTGTTGGGTATCCTCGACTTTGAGTTTTTCGGGCTTGGCGTCTTGTCGCGTTTCGACCCGACTAAATCTACATCATGTGTAGTATATACTACAAAGTAGTAACAAAGATAGCAATCTCAATAGTATTACTATGCATTTCGGTTCTGATACAATACATGCATTTTTTGTGCGTTAGATGCTTGACGTCCCGCAGGACTTGCACTGTAGACCCAAAGGCCCCTTAACTCTACAGTAAACCCCATAAAGTTGGAAACTGGATTAAGGCCAAATAGTTTTGGGATTCCCTATACATTACTCTTAAGGATGGAGGCTCTGGGGTTTCCAACTTTTGGGCTTCTACTGTAAGTTGTTTAAATGAATGCCCATGTGACAGCGGAGTTGGGAATAGCTGCTGCGGGGAGGGAGGAACAGCGTAGGGGCATTTAGCATTCAGAGTTCAGGGCTCTGTGGTTTTGGTTTGAGTTATGGAGTGGGCTTGGGGGATGAGTGCGTGAGATCCATATACTTATCCAAGATCCTTCGTAAGACCCAGTGGTCACATAGTTATCAAAGATCTTCCGTGAGACCGGGTGGTCACTACATCAGGGCCTTCGGTTTGGTCACGAGTTGTTGCTTTGCCGCTTTTTCGCGGCAGCTCAGCTATGCAGCATTTCTTGGTGTTAGTCGAAGTGGAGGCAGTATGGGCAGTAGCAGGAGTAGTGGCATTAGTAGAAGTAGTAGTCGTCGTCGTAGTGGTAGTCGTAGTCGTAGAAGTGTCAGTAGCAGTAGCAGTTGCAGTAGCAGTAGCAGTAGCAGTAGCAGTTGAGGAAGATGGTGATGATGCTGCTGATGATGATGATTTTTTTTACGATGCTGGTAGTAGTCGCATTTGCAAGTAGCAGTAGTATCAGGCGGTACCAGGCTACACCCTCCAACCATGAACTCTAAATCCCAAGACCCCGCGGCACAAACCCCCATGGTCTGGCGAGGTGGATGACTTGTGCGAAGTGCCTGGGCCCGCGTTCGAGACCGTTCTCAAGGCGACTTGCGACTTCGCTGCTCGTAGTTTATCGGATCTGCGGTTTAGGGTTCCCTAAACCCTAAACCCTAAACGATGCAAAAAAGCAGATGTGCCCGAGCATGACGACCATAAGAACCTCATTTTGGTGGTGGTCATTTGCCGGCTGTGAATGCTTGTGAGGAATTGAGGGACCCAGACCTTCCAAAATCCCTTAATTAAGGAATATACCTTGAGTCATAGTAGGATCCTTAATATGATTTAGTGTATATTCCTTAATTAAGGGATTTTGGAAGGTCTAAGGGCATGGCCTTCGAGGTTTATAAGTAGCACAGAGATGTTGGAGTCTTGTTGTGTCCAAGAGAGCTCAAGGCCACTCTAAACCCTGAACCGGGTAAACCCCAAACCTTGAACCCTAAACGCTAAACCCTAAACTCTAAAGAATGCAGCATGATCTGTGAGGAATCGTTGAGTGATCGTTAATGCAGAAATTCATGAATCAGAGCGGCTACGATGTCTGCATCTTCCCGAAAGCCCCGAAAGCTTAAAGCTGGGACTCTACGTTCAGACTCTGTACCTTACCCATACTGTTGATGGACAAAATCCTGCATGACCTTAAGGGCCCTAAACTATGGGAATTATGGTATATTCCTTATATAGGGTCATGCAGAATATTGTCCATCCACAGTACCAGCTGACAAAGAGCTAACTACTTCACACTTTCCCTCAAAATCCTGAGCCCGAAGCCCCACTCAACAACAACAGCAGACAAAACAGGTGTAGTTATAGTTATTACAGGTACGGCAATAAGTTAAAGCGAAAGAGCAACACCAAGCTCCTCAACTCTGGAGCTTTAACTCGGAAGTTCTGAAAATTGAATTTTTGGTTTAGATCCCCTTTTGGATAAACTCCTATAGTGAACCTCAGAAAGTTGGAGCATCGATTTGGGATGATTCATGCTGGGATTCCCTCTACTTTACTGTAAGGGCATGAGGCTACTGAGGTTCCAACTTTCTGGCTTCTACTGTAAAGTGTTAGTCCTTGCGCTCCTTCTCTCCGAGACTCGGGTTCCCTATCGGGCTGACTGGAGGGATTTTGGGTGATCCCTACCTTAACCCTGAATAACCTACCTTTTCAGGGTTCCCTATTATGATTTTCTTATATAAGTCCTCAAAAAGGTAGGTTCTTCCGGGTTCAGGTAAACCCTAAACTACAAAACCCGAAAGCCCTGAACTGTAGACCCATATAGAACCACGGTAACTCCCTAAACCCAAAACGCTGAACCCTTTTAATTCCCTAAACCCTAAACCCTTGAAATTCCCCTGAAGCGCTGGATCTTTGGAGGACCATTAAACTCCTTAACAAGAACCTAATTTAGAGAACCCCTAAACTCTTAAAATTCCGCTGAAGCCCTGGATCTTTGGAGGACTAAATTCCCTAAACCCACAACCCTAAAACCCTTCTAATTCCTCTCAAGATCTGGGTCTTTGCAGGACCAGACCGCTAGCTTTGTCTCGAGTCTGGCTGCACTGCTGGGTCAGACCCAGAAGCAGCTCCCCGGGTCGAAAAGGTTTATAGGGGATAGTCTGTAGGGTTTGGGATTTAGGGTTTGGGGTTTTAGGGTTTAGTCTTTAGGGTTTGGGCTTTAGGGTTTGGGGTTTTAGGGTTTAGTCTTTAGGGTTTCGGGTTTAGGGTTTAGGCTTTTGGGTTTAGGGTTTAGGGTTTATAGTAAGCCCCACAAAGTTGGAAACCGGATTAAGGCCAAATAGTGCTGGGATTCCCTGTAGTTTACTCTTAAGGATTGAAGCGACGGGGTTTCCAACTTTTGGGCTTCTACCAGTACTATAGTCTTTACTAGTAGGGTCTAGTCTTTAGGGTTTAGGCTTTAGGGTTAAGGGTTTCGGGTTTAGGGTTGTTGGTTCTAGGGCTTCATAGGTTTTTGCTCTTCCTGGTATGGATGTGTTGATTTTTACGAGGTTGTTTATGACTTGGAGTTTGAATATGAGGTTGTGTACGGGGCAACATAGATGTCAGTTTCGGGTTTAGACCTCCCCAGAGAGTGTTATATGGGTCTGAGACGCGTCGCATGAAGGGCTTAAGTTATATTGTATTCAAGAGATCTCCAGACACCGCATTGCCCAATGATTCCGGGTTAAGTGTTACATGTTGAAAAGTCGCACACTAGTAAGATTGTCGGGGCCATCAGCACCAACATCACGACGCAGGTGCCAGTCTCCGCATTGCCACAACGATGATGATCACCTTCATCAGCAGCAGCATCACCATGATCCTGGTCACGACCGCCGCCCGCATGATAATCATCACCATGACATTTCTATCGCCCTGTTCATCACTATCCTCATCATTTCCATCAGCATCGTCAGCCTCCTTGCCAGTGGTATCATCACCCTTTTCTTCTTCATCGCCATTAATAGCAGCATCGTCATCGCCATGGTCAGCAACAGCGGCATCATTATCGCCAACCTCAAGTAGAGTCTTCGCTGTTATCTGAAGCATAGACGACTTACCCATCATCCGAGTAGCGAAGCCCTACATCCCAAGGGTCCGTCCAAGCACCCAATAATCATATACTGTTCCCCAAATCCTAACCTACATAACTTCTATCCTAAAACCGAGTACCTAGCTATTTAGTCCCTTGGACCCTTGGGGAACCTGAAACTGCACCGCGAGGTCGCAGCCTTCGCACAAGGACACCACGGCCTCCTCACCAACTGCCGCCTTGGCGAATATAATAAGATTTAGGGCTTAGGGCTCAGGGCTTTGGGTCTAGGGTTTAGGGCCTATTGGGCTCAGGGCTTAGCATTGAGTTATGTTGGTGCTCCAACTCCCATGAAGCCCCGACGAATCTCGCATAAAGTCCGCCAAGGTGAGCACTGAGGCCTCCAGCGACGGTTCTGCTGACAGCAGGCAGGAAACCCCACGGGAGGCACCAAGGGCAGGGAGGGACTTAGTTCTTAGGCTTGGGGGCAGCCGAAGTCTAAATTGAAGGGTTTCGGTTTCAATTGTTTTGTGGGTTCTTGAGGGTGATTTCACGTCTGGTTGAGGCTGAAAGTGTTTAGCTTTCACGATTTAAGGGTCTCGCGTTTAAGTGTTCAGGGTTGATGAGTGTAAAGGCTCAAGGTTTTCTTGGGTTCAGGGTTTTAAGTTTGAGGTTGTAGCACCTGCGACGCTTCGGGTGTTAATTTGTGTTTAGGGTTTCGAGTTTAGGCGAGCATCAGAAGCCTTTCAAACCAGTGTCAGGTTTCCACACAGGCGGTGGGAGTCAGTGGCGGAAGTTGAAGGTTCAGGCAGCGAGAGCTCCGATCCCAGACTGAAGGGTTCAGGCTTCCGTCCAAGGCACGTGGAGAGGGCGAATCTGAGGACTGAAGGCACTGGTGATGAATGTTGCCACTTATGAGGATGATAGTGGTGTTGACGATGACGATGATGATGATGATGGCTTTGAGAGTACCCATGACAAGGATGGTGCAGCGTGTTGTCGGACGAGAGAAGATGAATATGAATATGACGATGGCGATACATGTTACTGCTCATGATGTTCCCGTTCATGGTGATGATGGCAGCGATGGTGACGGTGGTGGATCTACGGTGATGTGCAGCATGATGGCGATGATGCTGACAGTGAGGATGAGATCCAGGATGCAGGAACGTGACATGAGCGCCGTGGTGATAGTCCTGTGTCAGTGATGACAGTGCAGCACTGTAGCTATCGTACCTCGTGACGTGGCAGCTGCTGGTACGAAAGCCATAAGCCCTAAAAACTAGAACGCCCGAGCCGTCAGACCCAAGGATGCGAAAATACATAATCCGAACAGTCTAGACATGAAATTTCGAAGTCAAGACCTTGATTTACGTAGCCCTAGAAGCAAAACCTACAAAAAACAGATGTAAAGAGGTGGAGAAACCCTAAGCCCTACCTAAAGCACCGAAGCAGGAAAAGCAATAGCCAAACACCTACAAACGGCCATTCTTCTGCATACCTTTGGGGTCCAGGTAAACCCTACGAAAGACTTAAAGAGGTGGAGAAACCCTAAATCCAAAACCCTAGGAAAGATTTCGAGAGGCGGAGAAACCCTACACCCCAACACGCTAGGAAAGACCTAGAAGAGAAAACGATAGCTCAACACCTGTACACGACCATGACTCTATAGACACATTCTCCCTAAACCCTAATTACCCAGAACCCTCCGCAAGACTGAGGTGGAGAAGCCCAAGACCCAAAACCCTTATAAGGAAAGACCTAAAGACCCTAAACTCAAAACGCTACGGTTGATGTTATAAATCCTGCATTGCCTTAAGGACCCTAAACTATGGGAATTATGGAAAATTCCTGATCATGGTTAATGCAGGATTTATATCATCAACCCTAGACCCAAACCCCCTATAGATCCCTTAAAGGAGCCTCTTAAAGGTACCCCTATAGATCCCTGTAAAGGAACCCAAACTCAAAACGCTAGGAGAGACTTAAAGAGGTGGAGGGTCCTGCAGCACCGAAGCTGGTATGGAAGGTGAAAGGCGCTGACGAGGTACTTTGCCAAACGAGCTTCGGATTTTGTGCTATTCTGAGTTGAGGGTTGAGATGTGGGGTATAAGGGCTTAGGATTCAGCGGTTCAGAATTTAGGGTTTAGGGGTTGAGGGTTCAGGGGTTTAGGATTCAGGGGTTCGGAAATCAGGGTTTATCAGGGGTTCAGAATTCAGGGTTTAGGGGTTGAGGGTTCAGGGTTTAGGGTTTAGGATTTGGGGGTTCTGATTTCAGTGTTCTGGGTTTAGGGGTTTAGGATTTGGGTTTTGGGGTTTAAAGGTGTTGTGAGCTTTTCGCGGCCTGAGGCATCGGGTTCTAGGAGTTAGCCGAAATTTATGTACAATTTCGTCATCTCTTCTTTTTTGTTCATCCTAAGGGTCCACGTACTCATGTAGTATATACTTTGACCTTGAAGTAATCTCTGTCTAGGTACTTTAGGACCAAAGTGTATACTATATGCGTACATTCACCCTTTGGGCCTTTGGGGTGGGTTGCTATTCTTGGCCATACTATACTGCAATAAAGAACGCTGTACTTTACTATGTGCAATCTGTAACAAACGACCTAGCTGAGTATATAGGTAACCTTCAACCACTTTTTTGGGATATCAACCCAATGTACTCCCAGAGGTTAACCTTTTGTTCCCCAGGGTATTCGACAAGTAGGATTCTACAATGTTATACTATATTGGTTGTTCTTGGTAGGGCTTGTCGACTAAGCACAAAGAGCTCTGAGCTTGCGATGCCCTGAAGATTCAAATCGCACAGGTTGGCCCAGGTTGGCACCATGATCCCTAGTCCATGACCCAAAACCCTAAGCTTTTTCATTTGCCCAGAACTCTAAGAAGCCGAGGTACCGGAGGTACCCGGCGAGGACGTGGGCGCCGAGCCCACGGAAAGTCTTGAAGAAGTCGCCGTGCGACTGATCCTTGGACAGGCTCAGGGGTAATCGTTCGCAGCCAAACCCCAGACCCAAAACTTGTAAGTGGATCCAGATGTTGGATCACCAAAGAAGCATCCTACCAACATGTGGGTGGCACTGAGCCTGTCTTAAGCGTTCTATGTCTATGGTGTGTTTGCATCCACGTATTGGTCTCGGTATCGGTCTGGGACAGCGGGTTTAGATGGGTCTGGCAAGCTGGATTTGGGTAAGCATTATAAGGGTAATCTATGTATATAGAGGCCGGAAGAAATACTAAAATCATCCTGTAATAGTAGCCGCTTCGTTAAACGATAGTACACCCCAAAAATTCTCTAGTCCAACTATTCAGGCCCATACAACACCCAGAATAGGGACTATCAGACTATCAGGTCACGGAGTTCCAAGCCCAACCAACTCTTGGCTTTGCCGGCTCAGTTCCAAAGATAAGAATGCAAGAAGTTGAGGTGGCCTTCTCGGACGTTTAGAGGTCCAGAATGCAATCTGAGTCTTAGGGTCCTTTGTGCAGTTGTGGGCCTAAATTAAGTACGGGGTCTGAGACGCAGGATGTAGGCCCCAAAACTGGGGCTTTGCAGTGAGCACTACTCTTACCGCAGCCCACAACTCCTGAAATGGGAAGCTCGACCCCCAAAGCGACTCCTAGGAAAGATTGAGCGGTCAGTGCCAGTATGCCCTAGCGCCACATGGACCCTTCTTTAACCATTAATTGTACTCGAGCCCCTATAGTTAGCTACCATTACAGTCACCCTCATACCCTAAGGGCCCATGTATCCAAAAAGATGGGACCCTAACCCCTCAACCCTTATGGTCATACCCGGCCAGGAATCCTCAAAGAAACCGCCAAAGGAACCCTCAAAGGAATCCTTAAAGCAACCCCCACAGGAACCCTTAAACCCGCGAGGGAGCCCGGAGCCTGCATAACAACCCCCCTGTTTTCGAGCCAGCTCCACACTTCGTGCAGGTCTCCCGGCCGGAGCGTAAAGGATATGCACCCCGGCTTTAAGTCCGGCCTTAACCCTGAATAACCTACCTTTCTAAGGTTCGCTTACTACCCAGAGGGTCCATATACACTACTACTATGGAATTAGGCCCTAAAAGACCATCCCCATTATGGTTGTGGGCACCGAGTTCCATAATAGCAGCGTAATGTGGGCCCTCTGGGCTATGATTTCCTTATATCAGTCCTTATGCAGGTCTGCTATTCGGGGCTAAGGAGGGGCTTTGGGCTCTTCTGGTTCTTGGTAGGGAATGGGGGGATGGATCTGTAGCATAGTCCCTCAATCAGTAGTCACTAGGACCCATTGCCCCATTCCCTACTAAGCTCCGAGGAGTGTTAGGGGGTTTAGTGTTTGAGCATTGGGGTGCGTAGGGTATACAGCGTCTTAGGGTCTATAGGTTTCCAGGCGCAGGGTTTGTGTTTCACGGTTCAGGATGTAGGGTGTATTATGTTATAACGAGGCCCCCTATGTTAGTAGTTTAGGGCTTGAGGATTTAGTGTTTAGCGCGGTGTCATCGGTGGTGTGGGCGGAGGAGTTTCTGCTTGAAGGTCGGGTTGGATGGTTGTGAGTCCGGCAAAGGAGTTTGGGTTTCGAGGGCCTTGAGGGATGTATATAGGCGTTGGGTCTTAGGTTCATTGTTGTAGGCGCTTTGTTCAAGCCTGACATAAGGCCTTCAGCCCCAGACCCTAAACCATGAGAACAAGTCGCCCTTAAACCTACAAGCGCCCAAGATTTGGCATCGTATCCCGCAGCCGGGCGGAATCCTGACCTGAGGATCATGAAGGAATGTTTTTTGGCATAAATGAAGGAGCTGTCAGGGGGGCAACTACGGTGTAGTCAATATGTTACCACCAGGCCTTTCGGAGTACGGGACCCCAGAAGAATCGGGAAACTATGCAAAGCTGAATAAATCATAGACAGCCCAAAAGTCCTCATGTATACAGGCCTTCACGGACCCTTACAAAGGAACCTTGAAGGAACCCGTAAGGGGCCCTTATAGGAATCCTTGTCGGCAATCGAGGTGGGCGGTTGTCAAATTTATTGTCCCTTTTTGGGTCCTGATTAAAATACGGCACCTAATATTTAGGGTACCCAAAAAGGAGCCATAATTTTGACAACTACCCAGGTGTGGATTGAGAACTGGAACAAGCGCTTCCAGAAGGAGCTCGGCACTCTCCGTGGGTTCATCGAAAGCCGACCGGATCTGTTCCAGGCACCTATGAAAACCTCTATGCTACCTATGACCTATACCCTAAACCCAAAACCCTAAACCCAAAACCCTATAATATAATGTAATCAAGAGGATTTAGAGTTTGGGGTTCAGGGGTTAGTGTTCAGTGAGCTGCAAGCCTGCGATCCCCCGTAGACCCCAAAACAGTCACTCCTAAACCCTAAGTTAAGCCCAAGTTGAATCCTATAAACTCCCTCAGCCGAGTTAAAGCTTTAACGTACACCCTACGTAGGCCGAAGTAGACCCCTAAACCGAGTTACATCCCAAGCCCTTGAACGCGAAACCCTAAGCTCTAACCCCTAAACTCCCTAGAACCCTAGAACCCTAAACGCTAAACTCCCTAAACTCCCTAAAACCCTAAACCCTAAACTCCCTAATTAAGCCCCTAAAGCCCCAAACCCTAAAGCCCCACATTGAAGACCCCAAGCAGCTTGCAGGTGAAGCCTGGGAACGGACGAAGCTACCGGGTGCCTGGGTTCTTCTTCAGGAACTTAATTTAAGTTACTTATTGCTTGTAAACTTATCTTTTCAACTTTTGGGGTTCTTATAAGGTAGTCGTTTCTGAAAGTTTTAGCCTTTATTCCCTTGGGTTTTGGGCAAGTGAGGTTACCATAGTAGGGATCTATACAAGGGTTCCTTTAAGGCATCTATAAGGGTTCCTTTAAGGGTATATAGGCTTTAAGAGCCCAGGTGGAGGCTACGGAACCGGTGACTGCCGTTGAGAAAACGGGCAGCGACTGGTCCAAGACTGGGGGCTTGAGGTTTCAGAGCTTGGGTTTAAGGCTTTGTAAGGTTTGGCGTTTAGGTTCTGTTTTACGAGATTTGGAGTGTAGGTCTTAAAGGGTAGGGTTCAGGAATTAGGTCTTATGGGTTTTTGGTTTAAGGGGTGAAACCAGCAGGTTTGCACAGACACGTAGCTTAGGGATTGATGACTCCCCATGGGCTCGCAGACGCTGAAATCCAGAAGCCCGAACGTACCGAATCTCTGAAGCCCTCTACCCCAAGGGTCCAAGTACCGAATAGTCATATACACTCCCAAATCCTAACCTACATAGCTACTATCCTAAAACCGAGTACCTGATTATTGGGTCCTTTGGACCCTTAAAACCGTAGTATAAAATCCTCTAAACCCTTTATAGAACCCTTTTAAGGAACCCTACTAACCCTTTTAAGGGAACCCTTTTTATTGGGTCCTTTGGACCCTTGGGGCTGATAAGCACTACACCGTGAAGCCATAAACCTCGTGGCTTCTGGACTCTGTGACAACATCACTCTGCGCAGTGTCGGTGCTTGCATGCTTAATTCCGTGAGAGCTTCTACATGTATGTGTATATATATATATAAATAGAGAGAGAGGGAGAGAGTATATATATAAATAGAGAGAGAGGGAGAGAGAGACAGAGAGAGAGAGAGAGAGAGACCCGACGAACCGGCAGTTCGTAGATGCCCCAGTCGAATCCCAAAGGCAACCCCTTAACCCCCAAGTCGAAGCTAAAAGCCCTGTCAATCAACCCTCTAATCGGCCCTAGAAGCACCGAGCCCCAAACGTGTGCAGAAGCCTCATCCTAAGGGTCCAAGTACCCAAATACTAGGGTTTCAGGGTCCGAAAACCCATTCAGAGCATGGATTTGGGGACCCACAACCTTACTACTGGGTCACACTTACGGTTTTGGGTTTGCTGTAGGGTTGCGGGTTTAGGATCACCAGTTTTTGACACGGATTGCCATCACTCGAAGCCTTGAACCAGCAGTCCAGGCAAGAACCGGTGGCGTAGGTCCCGACGACACAATTGAGAGTGTTGACAATTCGGTCGCCTGGATGCAGTGCGCCATCTCGGTTTATCAGGTTTCGGTGCTAGTCGCTTTGGGATGTGCGATTCAACAATATATTCTGCCCAGAACGACGTGTCGAAACTCTAAATAGCTTGAACCCCACCGTGCATATCCTGCCGAAACGAAACATTGGCTGCATAGCCGAGAAATTATGGACTTATAGACGAGTGATCGCAGCATTCTTGCTTCTACAACCGCTGTTGGTGCTGTTCGTATTTATACTGGAGTTTCCGAAAATAAGGGGATCCCAATATAGTACCGATCCTTATTACAAGGACCCCAAAATAAGGCACCCAAGATTTCGGAAACTCCCGTACATGTGTTCATGAATACTTTGCAAACCATCCGCCTTGTCACTCGAAGAACTAGCCACTACGGCTTGCTTGTAGGGTTTAGGGTTTGCGTTCATGTATGCTTACAAGCTGCAAACCTGAACTTTCCATGTTTTGAGTATCTGCCATTCAGAGCAAAATGCATACGTACACATGCATGCCCAGACCGACCTACTTCATTCATACTACATACATACCTACTTACGTACATACATACAGACAGGCCCTAGATAATGCCCCAAGCAAACCAGAGACAGACCCAAACCATGCTTCGAAGAGCCGCACTCTAGGCGATGTCGGTTTGTAATTAGGGCTGATGGTTTAGGGCTTATAGGTTCAGCGTGTCGGGTTTAGGGTTTAGGGTGTCGGGTGTCGGTTCGTGATTAGGGCTGAGGGTTTAAGGGAATCCACGGAAGTTTTGGCTCTCTGTGTAGCCCACTCTACATCTTGAATCCTCCAACCTACCGCCTCTCTTTCTCTGTCTCCGTCCAACTCCCTACATCTGTCTCGAAGATCGGAGAGTCTTGAGTGTGCCATTTGTGTTGCCAATCCCGTACGGCCACCACCAAAACTCTTCGCATGCACGAGGTTCAGTCTTCAAGACATAGACAAGGGCCTACTACAGACAATCCAACCTGCAGCAACATAGTATGCGCTCTTTGTGACGCATCGGCAAGCCATTCCGGTGCATTTCAGGAAGAACTATCAGAATATCACTTCTCCTGGACGAGAGATGAGGTGCACAAAGGCGATCTGCATGCTAAGAGGTATGCATATCAATACCTTCTTCTGCGCTTCAATGCGTTTGCCAACAGCGATCGTATATATACCTGTTGGTAATTCAGCCAACCTGTCCCCATCTGCAGATTTGGGGCTCAACGGCGTAGCCGTTTTTGCTTTTGGCTGGCATGTCATGGAATTTGCTTTTTGAAGCATGACATACCACGAGGTGCCAAGCGGGCTTCTCGACTTTCACTATCCCCTCTGTAACACGGCACGCTGTTTCCGCACAGGGTATCGCCCGATGGACAGCAGGGATAGCTTGTACAGATCACGTCTCACACCCTAAGGGTCCAAGTACCTAGCAAGAGACTTTTCAGGATTCGACCATCTACTCACAGTGGGGCCCGAAACCTGAACCCCAAACTGGACATCCTAAACCCAAAGATGTTGATGCTATCTAGGTACCCGGACCCTTAGGGCCATTGCTAGCCGGGCACGTGGCACGATGCAGCGACTGACCTACTCCGAACAGTGGCTCAGACTCGAGATCCCAGAGTTTTCTGCCCATCGCTTGCCGAAAAGTATCTTTGGCTTCTGTGTTTTGTTGGGACCGATTTAGGTACCCTTGTGGTAACCCTTGAATTTGAAACGGACCGCTTAAGTAGGAGTGGACACTTCGTAGAAGATCTGATGTGCAGGCCTTGCGCCAAGTGGAGGGAGATGCAAACCTGTATTTTCTTTGCCAAGTGCGGTGACCTAAACCGCGGTTTAGGATTTAGGGTTTAGTGTTTAAACTGCTACACTGTGTAAAGATGAACGGACGTATGCCCCTGCTCGAGAGGGCTAGCTGTTCTTTTGGGATGGGTGTGGCCTCTGCTGACTCTGCTGAATGTGAATTCTTCTAGGGCTTGGGTGATGCAGGAAGAGGGACACAGGGAAAGCGAGAAGGAGAGAGAGGCAACATTATTCGTTCCCCTACCGGAACCCTATAAACCCTAAACCCCCGCTTCAGAAAGCGAGTCTGCCTCAGCACGGCCGCCGGGAGCGATCTCAGCCCTACTTGGAGGTTCGTGGGTGTTATGAGTGGAGTCATAAGTAGGGTAAGTACAATTATAGCCCACATTAGGGGGCTCATAACTCCACTTATAACTACCCACGAACCTCCAAGTAACCCTGCACATCACCAGTCCTCAAGCTTCATTCATCCAACTGAGCCCGATCCAACTGAAACTAATTCCGTAATGTCACTTCCGGACAGAGAGAGAAACACAGACAGGGAAGAGAGCATTCGTAGAAAGGAAAAGTCTGGACATTGGCTTTCGGCTTTCGCCTTTATGGCTTGGCTGGGTCTGGTTGCGAGGAAGACGAAGCGCGAGAGAGAAATAGTGAGAGAGAGAGAGAGGAAAGGAGGGTCATCGAGGAAGGAGCCTCTACAGGGAACTCCAGAAAGTTGGAATATCATTATCGTAACCCCTTTAAGGTAAACTTTAGGGGATCCTACCATTAATCCATATTTATGGTAAATGATCAGGTATCCTACCCTGAGACCATATTCCAACTTTCTGGAGTTCCCTTTAAGACGAACCTCTGCGCCAATCGACAGAAAGCGACCGGTTCTGAATAACGAGGAGCAGGCCGGCGGGCTCCGGTCTTGTTTGGTGCGGCTGATGATATGAATCCTGCATTACCCATAATAAGGAACATCCCATAATTCCATAGGAAAAACCGCATGTCTTGGGTACTGCCCCCTCTCTGTAGCAGTTAGATAATATTTATATCAAATACTATACGTGTGTGTATATATATATATATATATATATATATATAGAGCCTTGTTGTGACCCCTAATATAGACTGCTACAGGGTTGGGGCAGTACCTAAGGTATGTCCAGCAGGGAGAGAAAACAGTACATTGCAAGACCCAACATGTCGGGTTCAGGGTTTGAAACGGATTTAGAGATTTGTATGAAACCACAACCCCCCCGTACATTCTACGGTTTGTGCAGGGGTGGGGTAGTCAGTGGTCTGGTCATCGGTGGTTGGTTGAGGCCTGACGAAGCTCATACATCATAAGATTTGTACAAGCTTTAGGGGTAGTCAATAGGGTCTGAGTATAGGAATAGGGCTCTGCAGATTACAGGCTCTCTTGAAAGGGCGATTGAATCGTTCCTGTTCATGAACACCAGTCAACATGACGTACTCGAGCCACTTCTGTCCCAACCCCCCTTCGGCATCACTGGGCAGTACCCTTTAGGGCAGTTTAGGGTTTTGGGTTTTGGGCGCCCTCTGGGCGGGTAGGACGTTGAAGCATATGGCATAGGCATAGGCCACAGTGAGCAGGCTGTTTTGATGCGATACGCAGAGTTGGATCGACCATCCAAAACGCTTCATGCCTTCTCTCCTACTGTCGGCTGACATCCCACAGAAAAGGTTTCTCGAGTTGAGTGGTCCTTGATTTGGGGATCATTGCAAGAAGGATCGTACGAATTACTTCTTTTGTTTACAAGGGCTCCTTGTTTTCCGGGACTCCAAAACGCAAAAAACGACAATGAGAGTTCCCATCACTGTTGCTTTTCAGCGCGAGAAAACTTTATGTTCCACACTTTTTGAAAAACCTGTAATTAAACCAGGCCAAGCCTATAAACCCAAAACCCTGTGTTCAGGTTCCAGTCCCTGCGCCACACCTGAAGTCAGTGGGTCGGGTTTCTGGGATTTATGGGCTTCCGTATCAAGTTAGGATGCTTGAGCTTTCGGTGGTAGGGTTCAAGTCTGCTACAAGTGGGGGTTTCCGAATAAAGGGGACCCCCTAAATAGTAGGATCCTTATTACAAGGACACCCAAATCAGGTATCCCTAATTTTCGGAAACTCCCAAAGCTACCATGCAGGAATTCCGAAGAGGCAACTTGAAGTTGTTGTTTATCAGTAGGGCTCGATCGCGACCTGCAACCCCAACACTCGGCAGGGGTTCGGGCGTCATTTCGGCCGAATAACTCCGGCTTTTGACATACGTATGTTTTAATTGGGCTTGGTAGCAGCTAGTTGGTAGCAAGCTTGGCCAATAGCAAAAGAGCTAGCCGGGAACTAAGACACCCCTGCATTGCCCGCGTTCTGGGGTTGGCTGGTTTGTTTGCGATTATGAAGTCCTCGTTTTGGAGCAACTTTGCGTCGACATTTGTCGGATTGAAGATCTTCGAAGCGAAGCTGGACATCCTGCTCCTCGAAAAAGCAGGGTTTGGACGGGAGACCGGCAGACCATCTGCTAATTCGGCAGTGTTGTCTTGAAATCTAGGGTCTCGTGGTTTCCGTGTCCAACTTGTCCCAAGACAAGTACAACAGCAAGAATGAACGAAGAAAGGAAGATTTCGTCACCCAGCCTTGAGCCATCCCGGACCTGAGCCCCTATACTGCATAAGCCCTACAGGGCTACCTGCGGTTGATGATGTAAATCCTGCATTGCTCATAATAGGGGGCATATACCATAGTTACCATGGTCTAGGGTCATGAAGGTAATGCAGGATGTGTATCATGAACATAAACCCTAGACCCTAAAGCCCTGTAGATCCCTTAAAGGAGCCCTTTCAAGGTACCCTTGTAGATTTATATCATCATCCGCATCTGCATCTTCAACCTGGCGATCGATGCTCGAATCAAAGCCAAACACAAGCTGCAGGCATGATCCGATGCCCCTTATGTCTATTTATTGACACACCTAGGGACTCCAGCTAACTAAGCAGTAGGTTAATGGTCAGTAACCTACTATTTAGGTAATTGGAGCCCTAGGGACGTGCTAGAACAGATATGACAGGTAAGAATCATCACGACAGTCACAACTCGGCATTGCGCGAGAGCTACCCTGTTCGCAAGCTAATGTGCCGCATTTTCACGAAACGTGGTGGTCGTTGCCTGCGGATGTTCATGATGATAAAGATGGGCACAGACTTTGGCTTTGATGCTAGACAGAGGATGCACCTGCAAATCCAGGTGCGTTGCGACCCAAGGTCTCGGCATATTCCCCCCTTGCCAGTGGCAGTGCTTCGCAACACAGTTGCTGCCAACTGCCATCATCATTGCAGAACTATGCCACGGAGCCCCCGTTGTTCAACAGTATTCACCCGCAAATCGACGCCCGGAAACTCTAACAACCGTTGCCTTCCATGCTCCGGAAACACCAGCCTGCTGATTTTAGAATTAGAATGCAAGTCTGGCCGGTGCATACGTGTACTCTACAGCAGCTCCAATCGAAGTGACACAAGTGCTTGATGAGTACAGACTCCGGGTTGGGTCGGATTGGCTCTCCCCATAGTTTTGTGTATCTTTGTGGTGCCACTGCGCATTGAAACTCGCGACGGATGTGTCTGTGTAGTCCTTCGTGATGGGAAGACGAGGTTTGCGATGCGTGGACGTCAAGCAGTATAGCCAGAATCGAGATAACCACCAGGCTGCTGCCGGATGGCTTGCTGGTAAGCTGCGGACGCTAGACACAGATGCACCCGTGGAGGCTTCCGCTTTGGCTTGAACCTTGGTCCGCTAGCAAGGGCCGTGCTTTCGGATCTGAAACATGCTGCGAACCCTCGGGGCCGGAAACCTATCGCTGGCGCTTTGCGCATAGAATTTCAGCCCAATCTGTCCCCTCAGTCCTTGAACAAGAAGATGCATACCAATAATTTATAATAATTTCAAAAATTAGCTACTTGTCACCTGAATTCTGACAGTAGTTTACCGGCGTGGCGAGGATCGCAGTTTATGGCAAGATGCTTTAGTCCAAGACACTAGCTTGCAGCTAAGCTTTCAAGGTTGAGATCAGGCTTCACGCTGGGGTTATGCACATTGAGCGCTCCTAGATCACGCTGAGACGTCGACTGGGTTTGTGTTTCTCTTTTTGCTGAACAAGCTCTTAGAACCCGGGTTGTGTAGCTGAGAATTTCCCGAGTTGGTTCTTGATGTTTGTATTTTGCGAGTTGAAAAGTACGTTTGGTCAGGAGATTTCTGCTGTACCGTGGGCCCATGTAGCTATTTCTGAAACATCTGGATCCGAACTCGAAAGCCTCTAAAGCCAGCGAAAGACCTTACTCAACCCTGTAAACCTCAATCCTAAATGCTAAACCCTAAACCTCTACAGACTCTTACAGTATCCCTAAGAGTGACCCCTAACCCTAAAGCGCACCCTTCGTAAAAACAAATCTGCATGTGTTTGTTGTTGCTGTTCTTCGGGCCAGGGCACCGGCGCGGTGAAAGCACTCCGGGAGCTGAGCTTCACGCTCCCCGGGAGCCTGGAGGCCGGCTGAGGGTTTCGTTTGTTGCACGTTTTTTGTTGGGTGTTTCAGAGGCACTGCTTGTGTATATATGTCTATGTCTGTGTCTATGTGTCTGCGTATGTGTATGTATTGGTGGGATGGATGCATGGCTGGAGGGCTGCATGGATGGATGGACGGATGGATGCGTACATAGTAATAGATAGATGGATAGATAGACCTACCCAAAGGCCCCAAAGTAGTTCCTTTTTGGGGTTCATATATAGAATCCGAAAAGGTAATCCCGAAAAGAACCAATTGGGGCCTATGGCCTATGGGTAGGCAGATAGACAGTGTGTTACAGGATACCAATCGGGAATTGCCGGGGCTGCTAGGGTTTTCGTCATGTTCTATTGGATTTCGTAGGCTTCCGCACAAGGTGCGTGAGGATTCAGCGCTTTGTGGTTTAGTGGTTCAGCGTTGACGGTCCTTTGCGTGTTGGGTTGGTTTGTGGTTGATTTTTAATATAGGGGCCTAAATATTAACCAATACTATTTTTGGGTTCCCTTTTTATGAAGATACGGTTGATGATATATATCCTGCATTACCCATAATAAGGAATATACCATACTTCCCATAATTTTGGGTCCCTAAGGTAATGCAGGATTTATATCATCAACCGTAGTATAAAGGGCACAAAACCCTGTTCCAAGGCTCAGAGGCCCCTTTATCATAGTATCCCTGAGAGTATCCCTGAGAGTAACCCTTATTAACCCTTTAAAGAGTCGTTTCAAGGCCCCTATATTGAAGCTGTGGCGTGGTTTAGGATTTAGCTCCAGGGCTTTGGGTTGAGGGTTTAGAGTCTATATAGGGAACTCCAGAAAGTTGGAATATATGGATTAATGGTAGGATCCCCTATAATTTACCTTACAGGGGTTACGATAATGATATTCCAACTTTCTGGCTTCTACTGTAGGGTGTTTAGGGTTTTTAGGGTTTAGGGAGGGCTCAGGGTTCAGGGCCGGCTGAGGCCATTGCGTGTTGGATTTGGAGTTGGTTCGGGGGTGAGCGTACCGCTTAAAGGTGTTGGTTTAGGTTGTAGGGCTGAGGGTTCAGGTCATCTTGGTATTCTATTCTTTTCTGTTCTGATCTAGTGTAATTTCTTATTATATTTTACGGCTTTATAAAGTAGTTTATGTTTTGTGTAATGTTACAACACATCATTGCACATTGCATGACGATGTTTGTTTATATTACCTGGGGGTTAGTGTTTCCGGCACAGAGTTGAGGGAATTGTAGACTTCGGGCTTGGGCCGTAGGTTTGAGAGTTTGGGAGTCATGACTCCTAGGTCTGTGGTTATAACATACCTGCACCCTAGAATGCCTACCTTTGTCAGGGTTTTATATAAGTCCTTAAAACAGTAGGTTACTTGGGATTGAGGATGAGTATGAGGTTTCAGTCAGGTTTGGAATCAAGCTCAGTGTACGGTTCCGTGAAGAGTTCTACTTGGGATTATCTGACTGTGGGGGACCTTTAAGGGTCCTATTTGGGCCTTTGGGAGCTATGATATTGGGCAAGAGGTTTTGGTGTTGCAGGCATGGAGTCTTGCTTGCGGGCTCAGGGGTCTTAAGTAGTTTCTCGTAGAGTCATACGTTTCCTTTAGGGGGCAACATGAATTTTGGCCCTCAGAACTAAATGTCTGTTAAAAGACCTGAGCACTATGATCCGTATGATCCTTTTGCATACAGCCACCGTATGCTGTACCGCGGTGTGTAGTAGAACCCGGAAAAATGCGGTTACAACGGCTTCATATCTATTTTCTGAGGTACCGAGAAGTTTATGCGAGCACCATTCAGCTGTCAACAACGTTTCCCAAAGTCTCCTACAGTCGGTTGTCGGTGTTTTTCCTGTATGCGCCAGGGTTGAGGCTTGCAGTTCATCCTTAAACTACCGCCCCAGGCATCTCTCTTACGAGGTCCTTGACTAAAGCATTGGGTGGGTCAGAGTGAAGCTTTCCCGATTGCAGCAGTGGCTGTGGCTGCGTCAGGTGCAAACTTGCGCCAAGGTGACGGCGCGCAAAGCTTAGATTCGTATCATGCTTGTTGGGCATGAGTAGGGGGCTGCAATGAATTGATATGGTTATGTCTGGGATTTTGGTAGTTATCATTTCCCATGAACCAAGTACAGACATCGACAGGCAATGTCCTTGGCCAATGTTTCACAACACTGAATAGCCAGACAGTCCCTGACACATGCATAGGAGTGCCGTACTTACTCTGATGAGGACGCGCAGGAGGACGATGACGACGCGATGAGCGATGAGATGATACTTCGGGTCTTAGGATTAGGCACCATGAGAGCATTTCCTACTGCACCCCAAACCCTGTAAGCCTTGAATGTTCCTCACGGAATAAGCTTAGCTTTGGGCCTCAAAGGGTTCCATGGAGATGTGTACCTCGCTTTCAGGGTCCATGTGCACGGTCTCGGGACCATTCTGGGGCATGCTTGACCCATAGCCCCCATAATGAAGGCCCGCAGCACTTAACTACTTGCCATACAAACCAGGTCTTAAGATATTTGTGTATAAACTGCAGTTTACATCATGTAGTATAGAGCTTTCACAAGTTATAGAGATATAGTGCATATCTTTAATATGTAGTGTATAACATATGACAGAAACCCACATCCTCCCAGGCTTCTTCGTTCGGAAGAAGGGCATTGCTGCGGCTGCGTCTACACGCAGAGTGGAGTCGAGGTAAGCGTGCAGGCAGGGGGGCCTTCAGAGCTTAGTGGTTTAGGGGTTTGGGGGTTTAGGGTGTAAGGGTTGGCGGCTAGGGTTGGGGGTTTGGTGTTGGTGGTTTAGGTTTGGTACTGCCCCCACCCCGTAAGAGTCAGAATAGTTAGGGATCAAATATTCCCTAAGGGGCCATGCGCCCAAACAGCATATATTTTGGGCCCGATGTACCTATACAGGGAGTACTTTAAGGCCAAAGTATATACTATTTGGGCACATGGAGCCTTAAGGATTTATGATGGATACTCAACTTCATCCAACTGTGGGGGCAGTACCCAAGCTGTTCAGGGTTTAGGAAAGGTTTCAGGGTTTTTTGGGGTTGAAGCTTCCCAGAGTCATCACGCTACCTGAAGGAAGGGAGAGATAGCGTAATCTCAGCGTCATTTCTTTTTCTCCTTCTACCCTCCATTAGTTAGACCTTAAATACCTACTATTAGGGACCATATATCCCCATTGGAGGGTACAAGAAGTGTCCTGGCGCATGCGCCATTACTTCTTACGACATGTCATTACTCTGTGTAAGCCCTGCCTGAGCCGAAAAAGGGGTCTTGTAGGTCAAGATCAGCTTTTTCGGGGACAGAAGCCTAAACTGCTGCAACCCCTGGAATATATCCCGAAATCATAAGTGGTCTTTTTCGAGTAGCAAGGGATCTTGGAAGATCTGGGCACTTTAGGCGCTTGTTTCGGAGCTTAGGTTGAGAGAGTCTAGAGTCATAGTTGTGAGGCAGTAATACGGTTGATGATACAAATCCTGCATTACCTTATAATGACCCTAGACTATGGGAATTATGGTATATTCCTTACTACGGGTAATGCCGTATTCATAGCATCAACCGTAGGGCTTGAGATTTTGTTTTTACGATCAGCGCTCAGGGGTATTAGGGTGGAGCCTGAGTAAAACCGATCGGGAGAGCCCCCAACCCTAAATACCTGAAAGCCCATCGTGGAACCCTTGGTGGAGTTCTTACAGAGCTGTTACCCAGAGGGTCCATATACACTACTATTATGGAATTCGATTCCCAGAACTAGAATGGGGATGGTCGTTTAGGGCTTCATTCCATAATAGTAGTGTATATGGACCCTCTGGGTTAGAGAATCCTTGCAGTCTGAAGTAACCGGGCCAGGGCCAAGTGCTGCTTTGTGCCGGTGGCTTCTTGGGCGACGCCTCTGCAGAGGGCTGGCTGGCGTTCGCACGGCCGGTGCGGAGCCAAGTGGGGTTGGGCAAACAGGCCAAAGCAGGATTTGGGGCAGCGCGGCTAGCCTAATACCGAAGAACCTAAACCCCTAAACCCTAAACCCTAAAACCCTATACCCTCAATTCCCAAACCCTAAATCCAGAACCCCCAAACCCCTACACCGCACAGAATCACAGGATTGCTGTCAACTAGAAGTTGAAGAAAGCGAGCTTCGTCGGGTCTTTGGGAAGCTTCTGGGCTTCACAGCTCTCCGCACTTGGTCTTGCTAGGATTTTAGGGGTTTAGGGTTTGGGGTTTAGGGTTTGGAGTTTAGGGTTTAGGGTTCAGGGGTTTAGGGTTTAGGATTTAGAGGTTTAGGGGTTTAGGGTTTGGGGTTTGTTAGCATGAAATGTTGAGGGGTGTAGGGGTCAAAAGGTTACCCAGAGCTACAAGGCCTAAACCCTAAACCCTACCTTGGCCCGCCCAAATTAGATGAAATAATGGCCCGGACCTTATAAACGGCTATTATTCTACATGCTTTTGGGGTCCAGGTAAGCCAAAAACCCCTAAAAGCGGCTTTAGGGTTTAGGGTTTAAAGCAAGCAGGCTCCAATGTTTCATCATGCCTCGAACCTGAGCCTAAACATGCCCAGCCGCTAAGCCCCAGACCTTAAAGTCTTAAAGCTAACCCCCGACGCCCCAATCTTAGACCCGTTTGCCATGATCCAGAGTCGAATCCTCGAATCATCGCCACTGGCCCAGTGCCACAGCACCTGGTCGTGGCTGGCCGTTTACGACTGGTGTATCAAGGGACCATGCACCGTCAATGCTCGAAGCCCTGCAACATTGCGTTTTGTCGTGTCTGCCCCAAGTGACCTTACCCTGAGGGTCCATGTGCCCAACTAGTACCTAGTGTGTAGTTGCTTTGGCACTAAAACGATTGTAAGGCGCAAGTGTATACTAACTGAGTACATGGACCCTCAGAGTTCTAGGCCTTAATGTAAGAACCTGATTAAGAAACCGTGGGCCTATAAGCCCAAAATAGTCGGATTCATGTTCGGAACCCTAATAAAGACCCAAGGTTTCTTAAACCAAAAGGGCATCCTTTTTATTCCTAGCTTACCCTTGGGTCTAGAAAAGGATCTGCGCCATTTACCTCTGCTTCTGGGAGCCGCCGCACCGGCACCGAGCTCTTTAGTGCCCTGCCTTCCATGCATTCTTTAGAAGGAGGTCAGCTTTATTTTGAGAGATCTTTATGGCATCCTTTAAGGCTTCCTCTCTTCATAGGAGCTGTCGAAACTTTCTAGAGGATCGCTACTAGAATCTGTCATGAATAGGTGTCTTACTTAATTACAAGTAAGTGTTTCATGAAGATTAAGATACGGACTGATGTCACATAAATCTGATTGTCTCAACTGGGTTCTGCAATCGGAACGCTGTATCACTGTATCGCTGGCTATTGACTATCTGAGACCTTTCCGTAAGGGCCTTGACAGTTTGCTTGCAGAGATTACGGTTTGCATCTAGGCTTCCAGGTTTAAGGGGTTTTGTGTTAAGGTCTCACTGCTTCCGAAGATTCAGGTGAAGGGTTTCGGGTTTCAGGGGTTATGTTTTTTTATCAGGGTTTAGGTCGATCCCCTTGAAATGGTACTGTGTGTAAACGAGTGCCTCAAACAGGATCCGGCTTAATGAGATTAAAAATGGGCCCAATGTATTACCCATATAGAACCCTTGCCTGTGGATGTAGGTTGATTGGATGTAGGTTGATGTAGGCGTGTTACAGGGTGGTGGGAGTTTCCGAAAATTAGGGGTACCTTATTTGGGGTCCTGAAAAATAAGGATCCTACTATTTAGTAAGGTATCATATGAGGGTCCCCTTTTTTCGGAAACTCCCGGGTAGAGTTAGGACTGGCATGCCGGGGGGGCTGAGGGATGTAGGGTTGTCTAGGCCAATAAAAGGGTAGGGTTCAGGTTTACAGTTTGAGGTAGAGGAGCGGTCCGACAACTTACGCAGAACATCATCGACGCCAGCGCGCTGACCTTTTGGGCTTTTTTTGACGGGGCGCCACGCTTCCGCGACCCTTCCTTAACCGTATAAACCTCAGACCCTGACCCCTGCTGCGGAGTGAAAGTTTCGGTTCACTTACTCTTACTTACTTGAAGAGCACTAAACCCCAAATGCCAAGACATGCCTCTCGTTCTTGAGCTTAGAGACATCAGGACGAAGGAAAAAGACGTCAAACAAAAAAGCACCGAAACTTGTCTGGTCAGTCAATCCTATCCAGGACCAGCTCATGACTCTAAAGGATCTAGGGGCTTGGAAGGCAGGTCGCCATCAAGAACACTTGCCACATGGACCATGGATATCCGGTTTAGAGCTTTGGCTTGAGGGCATATGGTGTAGGGCTTAGAGAGCTTGGAATATCAAAGAGCTCGGAGGATTTGCTACTTCGTATCCAACTATAGTTTTCCTGTACAGTATATTGCGCCCCAGAACTCAAACAGAGGTTCCACGCTCCCGTAAGTAGCTTTCTTGTAACCCATTTGTTGCGACCCCAGATTCTTCATGTCGGGCATTGGTTAGGGTCAAGGTTTCAGGGTCTACAAGCTAGAAGATCTATTGGTTTAGGGGTTAGCGTTCAAGGACGTTAAAGATTTTGGGGTTTAGGTGCATCAGAAACAGTCTTGGTATCATCACAGTACTGTTATTGCTTGTAATAAGCATGACGATTCACTCTTCTCATGTTTAGGAGGCTACAAATTAATTAGATTACCGTGTGTTTTGCTATTACAATTAGATTGTATTTGCGGGAGCCCTGACCCCAAGCTCATAAACCCAAAACCCCAAAACCCTGAAGCCCCATTCCCCCCCCTCTTAACCCCGAAAACCC